TAACCCCCATATAGCATACATGAATCACCTCATAGCAGATCTATACAGGTGGAGCTGGGGAAGGTGGACGGTTTCTGAGCACACTGCGAACTGCTACGTCAAGCACTAGTCATATATTTGAATGTTGAGCAACGAGCTCATTGGCTACTGATACAGGAGAGAACCAATCAGCTGTGCCATGCGATGATGTCATTAGTTTAGATTGAATTAGACCTATCTGACTGCGCCATCTAGAGTTTCATGCCAGAACTCTGTATTTCTATTACACTTTATACAATGCATATTGATTAGAAGCAATAATTCAAATTGTTCTGTAAAGCAGCTCTAACAAGCCAATAGTGTCATTATACAGCTCAAGTCAGTTCAATGATGATTCAGTTCAGTAACTGTAAAGTTAATCAATTGTGCATACATACTGTATATACAGGGTATTTTTGCACATACATGTACACATTTGAGTGCTATGACAAACCCAAACAAGCAAAAGACAATAGATTTACAAGTGTTTAACATATGTCATATTTGTGTGTAGTTTGGCATGTATATGGCTAATCATTTGATGTTTTTTGTTACAGAGTTACTATGCAAAAACATAGTTTTTATAAGGGTTGAAATAGTTTTGAAAGATGTTTTTGTTTTTGCTACAGATGAGTAATATTTGCATGCATTGCCTGCATGTGGTTTTGAGTGCAGAGAAAAGGAGCCATAGTTTTAATAATGTATATTGCAGTTTTTTTTTTTCAATTGCTAACAAGTGTTCACCAATACCTAAAGTACTTTTTCTAAACCCTTAACACAGCAACACACCTACATCACACAATTAGCCAAATAGTCGATTTTCTGTCCAAAACTATACTTTGTTAAATAAATACAAACTCTACATTTCAAAATGCTGAATACCTTTTTCTACATATGCTAACTCTATCAAATCACAGCAAACCCGATTCAAAATCGATGTAATGTGGTGTTTTGGGTTGTGTTTCTTGTTCATGTTTTCATGTCTTTTATTTTGTGGTTTGATTCCTGCTGTTAGTGTCATGCTTCCCTTGCCTCATGTCTCTCTGCCTTGTGTATAGGTGCGTTCGACTTGAAGCACGGCTACAGACGGCAATCAACGAGAGTAGCCGCTTGCAGTCGGGGGCGGAGTTGAAAACGGAGCCGTCAAGCCGGACACTTTCTGCCACTACTCTATCACAGATGAAGTGAATTAAATGCAATATTTGTCAAATACACAGACGTTTCAGAAA